TCTATCTGGCCGACGTTCTTTTGAACAACTGGAACTCGCTGTGGAACATCTCCACCAACAACTTCTGGAACCGTTATGGCAGCATCTTCATTTCCCTTGGTCTTGAGGAGATCCAGCCCAAGATCACCGACTTGCTGTACCAGAACTATTTCGTGCCGAAGATCAATGAGTTGCTCGCCAACGTCAGCATGGAGGAATTGGTCAACTACTTCCAGTCGCAGGCCCAGCTCTGGGAGAGTGCCCACTGCCAGGCCTAGAAACGTCCCATTGTTTCAATTTTTAAATAATAATAATAGCAAAGCAGCAATCTAAATGTGTTTCACCTTTTAATGAAGTAAAGTTCGTGCTAATATAGTTGCGCATGAAAATGCTGCAAAGTGGTGGCATCTGCAGACGACGTTGTCCTAATGTTCACGGGAAATTCCCCCAATCACTATGTGATCTTATGACCACAAAACTTGCTCGATTGACAGAATAGCCTCGAAAACGGAACTTGTGCTATTCACTCCACCCCCCAAACACTAAACAAATGTAGGTTAACCTTTAGCGACAGTGCCAGGTACCTTGGGTTGGTAATAGACAGGAAGTTAAATTGGAACCTAAACACGAAAGAAAGAGTGAAGAAGGCCACAATGGCCCTATACACCTGCAAAAAAGCCATCGGACTAAGATGGGGCATGAACCCTCGTATAGTCCAATGGATATACCAAGCTGTAGCCAAACCAACACTGCTCTACGGAGTCACAGTCTATGCAGTCCTATGCCTGCAGGTCATAGACCTTGCAGGGAAGGAACAGGCAGCAAGGGCAGCAATACGTCTGCGAGATTCGGACCTATGGACGTCACGACCATATGGCCACAGTCAGCGATCTTTAGGGACACTAACATAGTACCTCATAAAACTGAGTATTGCGTTCCCAGAGAGTACACAGGCACCCCCTTCGAGGCTATAATCCCCCCCAGAGAGGAATGGCTCAAGGGGACACCTGGCCCAAAGGGGGCCATTAACATCTTTACAGATTGATCCAAGCTAGACAACAAAGTTGGCGGAGGAATCTACTCCGGGCAACTAAATATGAGGCATTCATTCCGCCTTCCAGACCACTGCAGTGTCTTCCAAGCGGAAGTCTTGCTTTAAATGAAGCGCTGAGATGCCTTAAAGAGATATCAGTCGCGGCTACTCACCTCAACATCTATAGTGACAGCCAGGCGGCACTGAAATCACTAAACGCGATTTCGTCGAATTCAACCACAGTGGCAAATTGTCGCAAATTTCTACATGAGGTGGCAAGACAATATGTTATTAGCCTAATATGGGTCCCGGTGCAACCATAATATGGTGCAACTGCATTGCAGACGAGTTGGCCAGATCTGGCACTACACTCACCCTTAATCAAGATAAGGAGGAAATACGTATGCCAATGGCCACTTGCAAGCTCAAAATAAAAGAGACTATACCCTGCAAACAACCAACAGATGACAAATGGCCAGACATCTCGAAAAAACGCACCGCTGAACTATGCAAACTCAGCAGACATAGGTGCAGCGTAGTCATTCGCTCTCTTAAAGGGCATTGGCTGATAGGCAAGCCTATAACGACTTCTGTTGTAGCTGTAGAGACGAGGATGAGGAGCAGACAGTAGAACATGTGTTCTGCTCCTGCCCGGCTCTCAGTAGAAGGAGGCTAAGATATCTGGGCTCACCTTTTCTTAACGACATTTCAGAAATGGCTACTATAGGCCCCAGGAAGATAGCAAACTTTGTGAGAGCATCTGGATGGGAGCACTGTTGACACCCTGACAAACGGGAGGAGAAGAGGAAAAGATCAAAGCGGAATCATAACGGGCCGAAACCGGCCTAAGTGTGTCGGGATTGTGAACTTTGCTCTTCATCTTCAAATCTATATCTCTAATTTTTCTAACCATGCAACTAACGCAACTATAATACATACTTGCATTATAAAGAACAAAACTTTGTTCAAAAGTAATTTTATTTAATTAATCTATATTTTGATAGGCTATCGCCTTTTCCCCGTCCCCAACTCAGCGGTGGTCTGGACCTAGCGGCTACTTGAGCCAATAATGCATTACCCTGTGGTCAGGGTAATGGCCAAAGTCAGTTTGATTCATATTTATGTCAGTTTGGGTCCTCATCCTGACTACTCCATGGGCTGGTACACAAATGACAAATAAATTGGTGGATGAATCTTAAATCTCGCACTTACCATGAAAGATGTGAAAAACATCTCCACTAACGCCAGCTATGTTACAGATTACAATTTCTCATGTTAATTTTGGCACTCCGTTTATCTCCTTTTCGCTTTTATAATTTTAGCATTATTTTATCGGTTTTATCGCTAATATAACTAATATTTACCTACCCATAATATTTTCTTAGCGGGGTATTAAAAATATATGTATCAATTCCATCACGCCACTAAAGGAAGTTTCCCCAGAGTTGTGGGAGAATTCAACTGAATTTCAATTTTTTATTTAAGGTGCTAGTCGATTGCCTATGGTAGGAGATTAAAGACCTCATCAATAAGAATATTCCAAGAACTCATTCCGAAATGTGAACCAAACATACACGGCTCTCGATCTTTGTCAGACAATTAGCAGTCAATGGATCGTTTTGGGGAAAACGCGTGCCAAGTGGCCAGCTATCAGAGAAACCCCCAAAGAGCTACACGAGCCCGTGAGTCATGTGTGAGGGCTGCAGAAAACTAATAGGCCTTAGTGGTGATAAGGCCACACAATAAGCTTTTCCATTAATATGCAATCCATCATAAGGCTTGCAAGTTCCCATTAAACATAGAAACATCAACAGAATAGATAAGAATTCTAGCTATAAAAGACACCCCACGCGATCATTGGCCATTAACCATTCACCGTTCACCCACCAACAGAGTCAGCAATCGAAATGGCTTCGCAACTCTTCCTTGTGGCCCTCTTGGGCATTGCTCTAGTGAGCGCCACTCCAGTGCCCCAGCAGGCTGGAAGTGCCAACTTCACCTCAGCAATGGCTCGCTACCTGCAGGCCTTCAGGAGCATAATGCCCTGTGGCTATGCCCCCGAGGGTATCCCCGCGCTTGCTCCTATTTTCACTCCCTTCTACGCCTACGACATCTCCACCGAAGACTTCAGCCTGAAGGGAAATGTGACCAACATGCGTATCGAGGGCCTGAACAACTTCCAGATCCTGAGTGCCAAAGACTACGGCAAGACCGGCGAGGCTGCCTACGATGTGATCTTCCCCAAAATCCAGATTCTGGGAGCTACCGAGGTCGAAGGTTTCATCAACATTGGCGGCTTCCATTTGCCCATTCGTCAGCAAGATGTGATCAATGAGGCCTTGGTGGATCTGCGCTTTGTGGGCAGCTACACTTTTGCCAACAGTCTGACCAAATCCTCGGGTCTGCGCATCGTCGACTTCAAGCAATCCATCTATCTGGCCGACGTTCTTTTGAACAACTGGAACTCGCTGTGGAACATCTCCACCAACAACTTCTGGAACCGTTATGGCAGCATCTTCATTTCCCTTGGTCTTGAGGAGATCCAGCCCAAGATCACCGACTTGCTGTACCAGAACTATTTCGTGCCGAAGATCAATGAGTTGCTCGCCAACGTCAGCATGGAGGAATTGGTCAACTACTTCCAGTCGCAGACCCAGCTCTGGGAGAGTGCCCACTGCCAGGCCTAGAAACGTCCCATTGTTTCAATTTGTAAATAATAATAATAGCAAAGCAGCAATCTAAATGTGTTTCACCTTTTAATGAAGTAAAGTTCGTGCTAATATAGTTGCGCATGAAAATGCTGCAAAGTGGTGGCATCTGCAGACGACGTTGTCCTAATGTTCACGGGAAATTCCCCCAATCACTCTGTGATCTTATGACCACAAAACATGCTCGATTGACAGAATGGGCAAGATCGTGCGGATTAGGTGTAAATGCCTCGAAAACGGAACTTGTGCTATTCACTCCACCCCCCAAACACTAAACAAATGTAGGTTAACCTTTAGCGACAGTGCCAGGTACCTTGGGTTGGTAATAGACAGGAAGTTAAATTGGAACCTAAACACGAAAGAAAGAGTGAAGAAGGCCACAATGGCCCTATACACCTGCAAAAAAGCCATCGGACTAAGATGGGGCATGAACCCTCGTATAGTCCAATGGATATACCAAGCTGTAGCCAAACCAACACTGCTCTACGGAGTCACAGTCTATGCAGTCCTATGCCTGCAGGTCATAGACCTTGCAGGGAAGGAACAGGCAGCAAGGGCAGCAATACGTCTGCGAGATTCGGACCTATGGACGTCACGACCATATGGCCACAGTCAGCGATCTTTAGGGACACTAACATAGTACCTNGATTCTGGGAGCTACCGAGGTCGAAGGTTTCATCAACATTGGCGGCTTCCATTTGCCCATTCGTCAGCAAGATGTGATCAATGAGGCCTTGGTGGATCTGCGCTTTGTGGGCAGCTACACTTTTGCCAACAGTCTGACCAAATCCTCGGGTCTGCGCATCGTCGACTTCAAGCAATCCATCTATCTGGCCGACGTTCTTTTGAACAACTGGAACTCGCTGTGGAACATCTCCACCAACAACTTCTGGAACCGTTATGGCAGCATCTTCATTTCCCTTGGTCTTGAGGAGATCCAGCCCAAGATCACCGACTTGCTGTACCAGAACTATTTCGTGCCGAAGATCAATGAGTTGCTCGCCAACGTCAGCATGGAGGAATTGGTCAACTACTTCCAGTCGCAGGCCCAGCTCTGGGAGAGTGCCCAGTGCCAGGCTTAGGTGCATTTATTTAATAAATATAAATGAAAGCAAAGAAGCAATTCCACTGCATTTCACGTTTTAATGAGGTGCATCTATGTTCAACTGATATTCTATATCAGTCATTTTGGCATAATTAATGTAATGGAACTGCTGCTGGCCATGTTTGGGCCTGCACAAACAATGTGCTAGTGGAGGGGCCAGTGGAGAGGCATGGGAATGGGTACAGTGGCCATAAACCTCAATTAATATTCAACACATTTGGTAAATCAAAACAGGAACAGGACTGGAATCGGTCGTCTACTTCAGCATTTGCAGCTCCTTCTCCAACTAATCCGCTTAAGTAACTCGAACAGCAGCGGAAACCGGAAATGAAAACCATACAGTACAAAGCACGAGTGGTGGACAGGGCAGGGCAAGGCAGGGAAGGACAAGGTAAGGAACACGTAGAAGACTGAAACCCGGAACGAGTTTGGGTTTGGGTGGAGCTGGGGTCTGGGTCTGGGTCTGGGTCAGGCAAGCAACTTCCGCTGCCGTTGCTCGCTTTTTCCGCAGCGCACAAAAAGAAAGGCTTTCCTCACACACACACAGAGGGAGATGGAGGAAGAGAGAGAGGGTAACCAGCAAGGAAGGAGTCGGGAAGGAATCATGGCTCTTAAGCTGCACCGGAAATGAAGAATTGCTGCTCGACTCGCAGCGACAGATTCGGTGGCGGTCGTCACAGGTTGACTGACACATACCCAAGACACAACCGCACTGAGTGGCCATGGCCCAGCCCCTACCCAAAAATGTTTTAGCCTTCTGCTCTGTGACCTGACTTCTGGCTCCTGACTCCTGGCCTGTTTTAAGTGCGCTCGTAATGTTGGGTGGGTTGTATGTGTGGAAATTTGGCAAGGGGAAGGCCAAACAGTAAATGGCTTTTTCACATTGCGGTATTCCGCTCATTGCTCGGGTTCGTTGGCCATCAGCCAGCATCCAGCAGCCAGAGCCAGCGCCCGACATCTGTCTCTACATCCGTTCCACAGGCTCTAAGCCGCAGCGGCGCTACCAAGTCCATTGTGCCATTATCAATTATTCAGTTTGTGCAAAATGTATAACTTATAATCCCAAGAAGTTCTGATGATCCCACAATCAGACTCCACCCAGCGGCAGTCCATTTTGCACACCGATTTTAGGTCAGTTCAGTGTTTCAGCAGCTTAATGAGAGCAGCTTAATGAGAGCAGCTGCAACCCATTAATGTAAAATTTAAGTACACTTCTGGTTTAAATATAAAGAAAAGCCTTTAACAAATGTATGATAACAGTTTCCATTTGTGCATTTTAATTACCCTCACCGATTTGCCATGCTCTGATTCTGATTACAGACATACTCCTAATTGTTCCACTGAGTTCCATAGCATTTCTATCTTTTTATTGCATAATTTATTCAGGAGTTTACATTATTAAAATGTTGTTGTTTGTTCATGCAAACATAAATCATATAATTTTCCCACTTTTTGTGTGTACTCCTCAATCATCAATGCTTCAATCAAAAATATTTCATAATTCATTAATAAATTATTCTCTAAATGGTGCAACAATAATAATAATTTAAATCAAGTATGCACAAAAAAGTCGTATTTTTATTTGCCTTTCAAGTTTATTATTTAATAGATTGTGTTTTTTGAATTCACATTTTTTTGTTTCGTTTGTTTGCGTGAAGTACATAGAACATTCATTATTTGTTGGATGATATGGAGACATAGCAGGAAATGGGATAAAACAAACTCAAATATGGTAAATGGATCTTCTTGCACCTTCCAAGGATTATATATATATATAAATATCTATGTATTTGTTTAAAGCTTTTCGGACATTGTCTTTCTGGGACATTCACCCAAAACACACACATCTCTCCCACATCCACACACACACGCACAACTTCAACGTGCTACTCCCACAATTCGTTTAATAATTATGCTTTCGTTTATCGGTACTTTATAACATTTAAACAAACAACATTCAATCGTTCTGTTTTAGGGTTTCGTTTTGTCTGGGTTCGATTAGTCATACGAGTAGGTTCTGTAGGTAGGTAGGTAGTCATGGATATCGTATTCCATTCGATTCGCTTTGCGCGTGGGCTAGGGTGGTTAGAAGATTATCAATCAATGTTCGATTTCGATTTCACATGTTCTACATATACATATATGTACATATATATATTTATATCGGTGTATACTATATGCTATGTTAGTTCTGGTAGGTACTTGTAATACATACATTTCATATCTCATATCTTGTAGCATTTCAACTATCGTGGGTTGTTCCTTCTCTGTGCGTGGGCTAGGCAAACAGCACATAATGCTCGGTAATTATACATAAATAACTACATATATATATATATATATATCTGTATCTTATACACCTATATCTGTATAAATAATTATTACACATTAAACATTTATCAAATTGAATGCATTTTGGTACTAGATAAAAAATGTACTTTAAAAAATAAAATTAATTCAATTTTCTCATCGTTTTTGCTTTCTTTTTGTGCAGGCTACAAAAGGATTCCTCTTCGTAGGTTCTCCTCCGACTTATATGTGTATGTACGAAATATATAAAAAGGTATTATAAAATCTTTACAAATAATGTTGAAAATTTGATTTATATATTTATATTTGTCCGAGACTAATTTCTTAAGCAATTCTGAGGGATATTATTCATGGGCACATGCTGAGGCTATGGCTTAAATGCTTTACACTCGCTCTAATGTACATTTACTATATATATTCACATATGTATAAACATTATTTAGTATTCCGTCTACACATACATTTAAATTGCTCTATATATATTTATTCATTTACTTGTTGACATATTGTATCCATTTTAACCATTCTGTAATGCACAATTCATGTTAATTACCTTCATTCGGTTTTTTCTTTATTTGTTTGCTTGTTCCAGTTTCAATCAATCATTTCGTCCCATTCTAAAAAACATTCTAACAAACACATACGCTCGGTGTGAACGTACTGGCACACGCCTTATAAAAATGCACTTTAAAATATGTTCACATGATATTTACATATCATTTCTGTTGTTTCCGCTGGTGGGGGGAGGGTTCTAAAAACAAATTCGAGCTTATGTTCGCATTAAAAAGCCTTAATTTAGATTATATTCATATTTTGTTATCAATTTTAGTTTTCCTAAGCATATCTTGAATTTTTTCAAGTATTTTTAAATATCATATAAGTCATTCGTAGCAGGCGCCGCCCATAAATGAAAGGAACCAAATTTAGAGACTTTTTTTTACTTTTCATTGAAAAGGTTGTCATAAAAATATATAGATATAGTGGAACCAATTCCAATTTGTGTGTTTCTAAAGTAATGTGCGTTTCGTTTTCGTTTCCTTAATTTCGATTCCGGACTTGGCCAATTGGGAGCAGAAGTAAAGTCACAGGAATTGTTTAGAAATCATTAAAGCAACTCAAATTGGTTCTTGGAAGCGTGCAGATATTGCCTCTGCGGATCATGTGAGTTATTTTGAATTACATATTTCGTGTATTTCCACAATCATATTCATTCCATACAAGATGGTAAAATGCTTGTGCCTTTCACTCTGCTTCTGCTGTATAAAACATAATCCGAATTGGCTTCACCGATAGGGCAAGCCACACCACAACGACAAGTCAAACAACGTCCGTTGTGCTAGCCCCATAAATCTCAGCTTAATGTCAAACTTGGGGGTTTGTGTGCACACACTTCAATCGCTAAGGATAGGCATAACATAAATGAACAGATTTTGTGTGCTTCGTAGATAAATAAATATAATTTTTGTGCATTCTTGCAACTGTTGCAGGCGTGGGTGTGTGTGTGTGTGGTAAATTACATGGCGTATCTGTGTGAGTGTTGTGGGGGGGCATGTTTATGTGTGTGTGTTCGTGTATAGGTTGTGTATTTGTTAAACAATTTCACATTTTTAAAATTCGTACACTTTCAGCTTAACTCTATAGATACTAGAACGTATGGCCTACACATATCAAATAGCTTACACCAAAAAACTATTTACCGTGGCTATTGGCTACTGTATAAAACTTTACATTAGGCTGCGGCTGCGCGAATTTCTCATATATGATACAAAATGCCGAAATATGACTAATTGAATAAGTTGGACATTCAAAGTTTCTTGTTCTTGTTCTTGTTCTGTTGTGCACGCGTGTCCTAGCTGCGCATACATACATATCTAAAGATCGATCGGCACTGCAGCAGCGAGCTCTAGGCTCGATTACAGTGGGATCGAAAGTTCTAGGGGGACGGGGCACCAGCCAGCAGCGATCTAGGCCTCCGTTTCGGCGCCCTTCAGACGCAAGCGGGCAAAGTCCTCGAATATGATGTCATCATCCTGCGCCTCTTCGTCGTCCAGCTGGATCAGATTGGTGGTGGTGGGCACATCCTGTTGTCCCTGGTCGCCACCGGACCCTGATGCGCCGTCTACTTCCATGTCGCACAAGCTGAGCAGGGGCGCCGCCAAGCTGGCCCGCGGCGATCTCTCGCCCAGCAGCGGTGGCTCCTCCTCCTCGGGCTTGGGGTGCATTAGCGTGAACGGCAGCTCGGCAACCAGGTCGCCATTCAGCAGCGGCGAGCTGATTAGCAGCTTAACCTTCACCTTGTAGTGGACCATTATGCCGAGACTCTCGCGCTGGGCGGGATTGGTGATCAGAGTGCTGGACGCCAAATTTGTGTCCTCGTGCTTTAACTGTCCGTCCAGGGCCAGGCCCCATTTGTCCTTGTTGTTGGCCAGCATGGGGCAGAGCTCAAAGACCTTGGACAGAGTGAAGCCAGGCGCCACCTGGCATCCATCCTCCGACTCAATCTCGGCCACAACCGACTTGTACTGGGCCGTCGAGAAGAGGCAAATGTCGGCGAATTGCCGCACACAGACCTTAATCTTCTTGACCGTTCGATTGGAATTGTTGGCCACATGCACATTGATCGATATCTTCTCGCCATGATGGTACAGCTCCTTGTCCAGACTGGCCTCCAGGTGGATCTTATTCGGCTTCATCATGAACTCCTTGCTCACCTCAATCGAAGGCTGCTCCCCGGCCTTGGACGGGGCATACATGACCTTCCGTATGGTTAGGCGCACCGAGTTCCGTTTGTGGGGCTTGTCCTCGACGTGCTCACCTAATGTAGGATACACATAATTAGTAAAGGTCTCTCTATCCACTTGACTGGAATAATATCATGTGACGTATGCATGTTTGGCTTGGAGGTGTGTCACTTGTATCTACTATGCCTAATGCGTGTGTGCGCGCTTGTGTTTGTTGGACTGAACAACATAACTTAACTAAGTTATGTGCGTCATAGATGCGATGAATGGTAGGCAGGCCAATGGGCATTGTATCCAGATGAATCAGTTGTACAAAGATCCCCACAAATTCCGGGAATGTACATACAAGGGCATAGCGCCAAGAGATGCTTTAGAGCCCAGATACATACAGCTCAATGCCAAGATTGCTCGGTTTGCTTTTTTCTGTTCCCCCCAATTGAACGAAATGCTTTCCAAATTGAAGATCGTAAATCGTGCCGCGTCAAGAGGGGCAGAGTTAATTGTTTATGCCAAAAACATGGATGCAAAGCACATTAAATAAACAAATCAACAAACGCCAAGTAAATAAGAAAAATGAAACGGCTGCCTGGCGTTTGAGATGCCGAAACATTGGATACCCTAGCGGATAGGGTGCTGCTGTCAGCAAATCTAAGGGTTTGGGTGCAAAGCTTAGGGACGAAGCCAGCATTAAATTTAATTATTAATGCCGATCAGCAATATATTTGTTTACATTATAGAGCAGGAAATGCTCACACTTGGGCTTAAATGCTGACAGAGATCCACAGTGGGTGTGACGCACTGTCGAACGCTTCTGTGAATAATTTTTACAAAATTCTCACATTTAGTGCATTGCAACAGTTGCCTATTCTATTCTATACGTACATTTGTGCATACATATGCCAAGGCCCACCCAAATGCCAATTGGGATCGCCGACGCCCCGCTCTTTCATTAATCTCTTTATGGCCGCACACAAATTGGCAGAGCCGTCGCAACCAGATAAGAATGAGCGCCAGCAGGCAGCCCAAAATTAACGGACAAAAGGCAAAAACAGATAGCAATGTATGCCAAGTGCAAGCGAGATGGCTTGCCTTCCCGACCCATCCAGGATGGCACTTGGTCGCGAGGAGTGTGTGGAGGAGAGGTGTTTGTGTTTGTGTGTGTGTGTGTGTGCTGTGGTGCGATTGCCCAGTGCGCGTGCGAAACGCAAATATGCGCGCGTAACTTCCATAAATCGCAGCTAATTTTTTCGCTGAACAAGCGGCAATCGTATATTGTTGTTAACTTATTATTATTACAAATAAGGAAAAGGGGAGAGAACCGCTCTACGTTTTAAGCTTTTGCAAGCAGAAAACAAAACCAACCGTCCCCCTGCCAGCCCGTTCCACTCTTCCAAGAATCAATTGAGTATTTGTGTGTGTGTGTGTCTGTGTGTGGATGTGTTTGGGAGGAGCATTGTGGAAAACGTCAGCAAGTCAACGGGAGCGGCAGTGGCAGTAGCGGCGCCTAATTAAAGCCAACAACAATATCTCAACTGTGATACAACCCCACACGGTCCTAACTGTGTAGAGTCGGATTCCAATTAGAAGCGTCGAATTCCAATTAGGTGGGACGCTGCGTCATCAAACCTCCAATGACATTTTTGCGCAGTCCCCGCTGCCGCTCCATGTAGACGTAGCTGGATTAATTAACCCCGCGTGTCCGCGTGACACATGCGCCACATTATACATGTATACTACTCCACATATACACATACAAACACATTGTGGAATGTGGAATGTACATATCTATGCATGTATTGACAATGCCTTGCTGCCTGCTTCTGCCGCTGTTGCAATCGCTGCTCATCAATGATTTTGACTTTGCCTGACCGGAGCACCACACGCACACACACAACAAATCAAACATACACGCACACACACACACAGTACATTAATAATGAACGCAACAAGCCCTCGCCTGCCTGCCAGTCAGCCATATGCCAAAGACTCACCCACAAATGCTTTCAGCTCGTAATCCACACCGCAAGACTTGCCCACATCTCCGGGGGCCGGCTGCAAGGACACCGAGGCGGGGCAGTAGGGTGGCACTTCGAAGTAGAACGGATGTGCATTGGGGCCCAGCTTTTTAATCAGTCGCTCCTGAAGACGGGTCATCGGGCGTTCCAGCTGCATGGACGGGTAGATTTGCTCATGCGCTAAATACAGGTCCTTGCGGAATGTCAGCCCCAGGACGTCCAGGTCCTCGCGACCATAGCGAAATGCGGCCAGCACCTGGCCAAACACCTTGCGATCCTTGACATACTCGGGATCAATGAAGACCACCCCATCAATGGGATCGACGTGCGACACATGGTCTACAAAGTCCCGCTTGCCAAGATACACGGTGATTTTGCCATTGGACGAACTCTTCTTGAAAACACGAGTCGCCTGCCGCCGTGAGCTGGCATCGCCGCCAGCCTCGTCGAGGCCACCGCCCCCGCCGCCATCGTTCGCAGTGCCGGCCGCTGCTACGTTTGTGCTGGAACCACCGTTCCCGTTACCGTTGCCTGTCGTGGATATGACCATTGGGGAGCCACCGCTGGCTGCTCCGTTGGTGCTGGGGCTCAGTGTGTTCATTGCTGTAGTCGTCGACGTTGTTCTGCCTGCTGCTGCTGTTCAGTTCCTTGCCCTGTGCCTTGTTGTTGAGGCCCGTGGCTGGCTCTGGTTCCGGTCGCTCTGTCTGTATCTGCCCCAAAATGTTTAGTCGCACACACGCTCTTCGCTCTTTGTTTTTAGCACTCCTCGCACTTGGAACAATAAATATGTGCGTTGGTTCTGGTGCTGCAATTTAATTTTTTATGTGTATACTTTATCGCTTATCGATAAGCAGTGTACGAAATTAATAGGGATGTGCGATATGTGCGTATCGGTTACTGGTCACGAGACTTCTTAAATATCACCATTCGCATTTGGCAGTTCTGCGCTGATAAGCTCACGCAACTCACTTTTTATTTCAATTACCTTACAATTGAACGAATAAATTAAAGCCGGGGCGGTGACCTGTCCTTGAAGCTTATCTCTAAATAAATTACAGATGAAATCATCGCAAGCTACTATCGATCGATTATAATTTAAGGCGCCATCTATTGTTGGCAATTATGGAACGTGCTGCGACGTTGCCACATCAATTTACATTTGAAAATGAAATTCGGTGGCGGAAACTGGAATGCATGCCCATAAATTTTGATACCTCTAAAACTTCTTACCATTAATGCCGATTTCACATAATGCAATGCAACCGCTGAATATCTTAAGCAACAAATTGCCGATACATTTTTTTGGATCTATATATTGATATATATCTTAGGGCTGAGAAAGAATTGCTTTGATATAACAATCACACTCAAATCAAAGTGAATACAATAATATGCTTACATTTATATAGGCAAATAACCATAATGGCAGACAAATGCACTAAGGTGTTTCTCTTCATTTTCATATGTCTTTAATCTTATTTTTTTTTTTTTTGAGGTTTTAAGTTACCGCTCTACCCTTAGGTAGAGGGGAATTATTTGGCCACCCGCCTTTACAAGGGGGAAATCGCCACGTCGTTATATGTAACTTGTTACAGCTTTGCTCCAATACTTACCTGGCGTAGAGGTTATTTTCCCCATTTTCTTTAATCTTAAATAGTCATTGAATCCCTCAAATATTATGTTAAATATTTGGCTATTCAGCTAAGTATGGTATTGGTATGTAGATAATGTGTAGTAATAATGTCATAAGGTCATACGGTATATTACGGTATATTTGATACCTTTCGGTATATTTTGACGTCGAAATTTGATTCGACGGTATATGTACGGTATATTTTGTTCTGTTGTTCGTTCCGCAAACGACTCTTTTTTGAGTTCAAAATTTGCAGTACAATTTTGTGTCTAAAACATACCAATCTATTTCGCTGCAGCGATTAAATAACAAAAAAAAATAATTTTTAAGGTATATTCAATAATATAGGGTATCCAAACTCCCATACGTATGTTTTTAAAATATCCCCCAAGGATTTTCTCTCTTTGCCGTAGGGAATGTTCTCTCTCTTTTGAAGGGATGTTGCTGTCTTGCAACATGGGAATTTTCATCACAGCAATAAGTCTTTATTCCATTTCCCCACTTACGTTGAATTCCATAACCACTTACGTATTTTACTGTTGGCAACATAATTTGTATGGACCAGCAACATGCTGCTAATAGTAAGCACAATCTCAATTAATTACTTTAAAAATTTGCAGATTATAGAGAACGAGAATGTATCCAGATCGGTATATAGTACATACAAAACATATGAAAAGTTTAGTTATTAAAATCAGATGATTAAATGTACTATATATGGCTAAAATATATTTTTGGTTGTCCTTCTTAGTTTTAACTATTTTAACCAATCAATTCGGGAAAAATTTATCATAAAACCAGCTAATCCTGCGGAGAATTGAAAGATGTTTGAGTAAAATTACGTTTTTAAAGCTGAGAGTCCTAGCCAACTAGTAATATTAAATTGAAAATCAAACTCGAGGAAAATGATTTTAGATTCATGGTATATTTTACGGAATATTTTAAAAATGAAAAAGTATATGTTGGTATATTTTCGAGGCCCTCCGGTATATTTTATCGATAATTCCGCTGTCAGGTCAGACTGACTATTACCACGTGCGTTTTTTTCACATTAAACTTAAAACCACGCGTTGTGCACATTTTCGGCGGCAAATTTGCTGAAAGTAATACATTTTAATACTCCTGACTGAAAATAAACCTTTTAACTAGCAAAATGGCACAAAAGAAACGCGCTGCAGCTCCGGCAAAGAAGTCCGAGAATGGTGTAAAGAAGCCAGCCGGCAACAAGCGCGGTCCAAAGGGAAAGGCTGCTCAGGTCGACGAGGAGGTTTTGGCCACCCAAACGCAGACAAGGCAGTCAAAAAAGAAGCTAGAGCAAGAAGTGCAGCAAAACGAGGATGAGTCCGATTCCGAGGAGGAGCAGAGTGCCGTCAAATTTGAGGATGACAGCGAATCCGAGGTAAGTGCCAAAGACAGCACGCCGCATCTCGAAGAGCCATGAGAAAAACCGCGTGTTTTGTGTTTTTTTTTCTTTGTAGGAAGAAAAAGTTTCAGATTTGATTTATGATGAAGCTGAGGAAGACAATGAAGAGGAGGAGAGTGACGATGATGAGGAAGAGGATGATGATGATGAGGAACCTGGACAGGTGTCAAATTCGGGAAAACAACTGACGGATTCCGAAGACGAGGCCCCTGCTGAGGCGCCCATAGCGAAGAAAGGCAAGGTAGCTGCTCCAGCAGCAGCTGCGGCGTCACCCAAAAAGGGCGGCATTCCAAGCATCACCGTGGGCAAGATTCCTGTGGAAACTCCCAAGGATCAGATTATTCATGTGTCAAACATACCCAATGGTACGTTATTTATCAACTTTAACATTTAAGCTCAAATATTTGTATTGGTTTAAGCTAATATTTAAATTAATTTTTATATTTTTGTTGCAGAATACAAACATCTTGATTTGGTTGCTCTGTTCACCAAATTCGGTCCGCTGTCTGCTGTGAATCGCATCAAGGGAAAGACTGAAGGCAACACCGTGTTCATTGCCTTCGAGACATCCGCAGCGGCTGAGGCCGCTTTGGAGGCCAAGGAGAAGGCCTTGACTTTCTATGGCAATGTTTTGGCTGTTGCGCGGCCATTCAATAAGGAAGATCTGAACAATCGCACTATCGCCGTGGGACTCATTGGCCCCAAGACCACCAAAGAACAGTTGTCGGCATACTTCGCCAAGGTCGGTGAAGTTGAGGCGGTCAACCTATCGAACAACCGCAGCAACCCAACGGCCTTCGTGCGCTTTAAGACCACCGAACCGATGGCCAAGGCTCTCAAGCTGCACGGCAGTGAGTTGAACTCTCGCTTCATCAGCGTTCGCGAGCCCTCCTACAAGCTCAACTCGAAGAAGTCGCCCGAACGCACTCTGATCGTTCAGAATGGTGCCAAGCACGAGTCGTTCAAGTCCGATGTCATCGAGAAGATCTTCAAGAAGTTCGGTGAAATCGTGGACATTGATGTTGTGTGCACCAATTATGTCCTGGCCTTTGTCACATTCAAGGAGGCCGAGCAGGCCCAAAAGGCGTTGCAACAGCTCAATGGCAAGACTGTCAGCGATCTGGAGCTCAAGTTGGAGCAATACACATTCAATACTTCGCCACGTACCGTGCTGGTGACAAATCTCACAGCAGGTGGGTTTCCTTTGATATTTTTGTGCACATTCGCAGCATCCTAATTCCTTGTCTTTGCTTGTGCAGATGTAACTGAGAACGACCTCAAGGAATTGTTCAGCGAGAGCGGTAAGGTCGACACCGTCACCCTGCTGTCACACAAGGCCCTGGTCAAGTTCGCCACCAATGATGGCTTCTGCAAGTCCTTCCTGTGCAATGAGCGCGTCTTGAAAAACCAGCCCATATTCCTGGAACCCAACTCGATGCTGAAGCACAAGCTGCTTAAGAAGAAGTCGTCGACCATAAATCGCAACGGCAATCGCCCCGCATTTCCACGTGCTGACGGGTCATCAAAATTCAACAAGTTCGGCAAGAAGCCCTTCAACAAGCGCCCAGCACAGGACAATGGTGCAAAGCCAGCATGGAAGAAGATCAAGCAGGAGGTCTAAACTTATTTTAGACTTAGTCTTAGGTTAAAACATATACACGGCAAAATCCCCCTCCTTCATATAAGCCAATGCGAAATAGAGCATTGAATTTAGTCAATAAGTCTAGCGCCCCCCACTACCACCATAAAATATTTTTTGTATTTTGCCCGATGTAAGGGGCTGCCATTCACACCACCGAGCCAAAAGCTAAATAAAAGAGTGTCGAGTAAATGCAAAGCAAACGTCTTTTGTCGTCTGCCTATAAAGGCTGTGGGCCAATTTCGAGAAGAATTGTAAAACTTGGTGCGAGAGCAAATTGCAAATTACCAGCACGTACATACTCCGCGTTTGGGTGTACGGGGTGTCTCCACTTTGCCCCCCGCCCAGACAAATGATTCATTACACTTTGCACACGATGTCGCCGGTCGAGTGATTCATGCAAGCCAACCAGCCAGTCAGCCAGCGCGCTCTACACGCAAACATTTTGATGGCCCTGCTGCAGTGGCGCTACCCATGGCCGGGCCGACCACTCGTAAGTCTCGTCTTTGTTCATGTCTTCTTGGCCACAATGCAAATGAGCAGAGCCGGTGGGGGTCAGTTGCATTACTAAAGTGAGGGCTTGGCTAGGACGGTCACTGGCCATAATAATGTCTCTTGGGAGGATTTTAAGGTGGGTGTGTCCTGTTACTCAAGGACTATGAATGCTGAAGGAACATCAACAGTTGGTAAATAATTATTAAATACTAGTCGTGTTTTTTTTTTTTTGTATATTTAACATTTATTAGTAATAAATTTTCTGTATTTTCTGTAATATTTTGTTGATGTCAGTTTTGGGTTTGTTCTGCTTTGTCACTACACACAAATATGTTCTTGTTGACTGATATATGTACGGTATAGATAGATGTATATCGGTATATAGAGTATGTATTTAGGTTTTTTTGGGTTTCTTGTATACTTCCTTTTGTTGTATATGTTACTTGATAAATTATATGTATTAGTTTTTCTGTTCTCATTTAGTTTGTTTAGCTGTTTAGTTTTTAGTATCTCTGCTGCCTTTCGCTTTAAATATATTTGTATTTAATTATATTTTGTTTAGAGTTAGTTCTTCCATGCATGTATAATATAAGTGTAAATATATGTTTATAAAAAAAGGAAATTTCCCTGGTCCGAGGGCCAAGGCCTAAATGCAACGGAAATTAATTTCCAGCCAGCAAGATGAGCAGCGGGGCCCCTGATCCGCACCGTTCCGAGCCCCACGGGCAGTATTGGTTATGAATCACTTAATCAGTCTCTCTTCGAACTAGACGATAATGGTTGTTGGGTCTGAGTGGTCTTTTGGGGGCTGGCTTCGTCTGGCTAATTCAAGCACAACTAATTGCAGCCGTGAAGGTCTTTGACTGGGGCTGGATATCAGGGTTGCACGGGGGTAAAGTCTCCTATGTCTCAATGCTGCTTTCGACTCTTAACTCTTTCAATACGTATAATAATTATCATAATTTAGCTTATGCTTTAGTTAGCAAATTACTAGTAATAAGGCAAATAAAAGTGAAGGGCACTGGGGGCGGGGCTGGGCAAACCAAATAGCGCAAAATCAACCAACTCTCTCTCTCTCTATCTATCTCTAAACAACTACGAATACGAGTTTGGTTGGATCGATAGATACGCACACATGGGGTTTATCTAATGCTTATGTATTTGTATATTTGATTTATGTATGTATATATTATAGTGGCAAAAAACATTCAACTCTAGCAACTTAATATCTAAAAAACTGATCCATTTCCCTTGGGAGTTACTCGGCCTGGGGAGAGGGGTCTTTACTTTCACAAAAGCAGGCAAAATTGGTTTTTCTCAATACAATAAATTCGAGTCGTTGACGCTTTGGTATCTCTCATTCCACATATATCATCTGTGTATGTATCATATAAAGGATAAACTAAAAAAGAAATATTAAAAAAATAAAACAAATCAAAAGTTGTAATTTTTCCTTTTTAAGTATTTTTTTTTTGTTCGTTTTTGTTTAATTTTTAATTGGTAATATCGTTTTAAACATATAGTATATATGTATGTGTTTATGTGCTTTTAAAGTGGGGAGTACTGGTGCTTTAGAGTTACATTAAATGTTCGTTCTGCTAAGTTTGCTGATGTTTCAAGTTAACAAATTAAAAAATAATAATACAACTCAACCACTTTCTTGGTATCAATGCAAACAAAAAACTGCTTTTAAAATATGTTAAAACAGAAAACTTTTGGAGATTTTTTCTTTTTTTTTAATACACTGGGTTACACTTTGTTTTTTGCACATCCAGAAAGAACATTCAAATTTATGCTCTAATTGATTTTTTTTGTTTTTTTTGGGAGTGGTTTAAGTAAACTTGGAGGAACGTATACAAAACATTTTGAAATCAATTAAATTTATGTGCTTGGAGGAGAGTTAAACACATCCATTCTTGGATTCTTTTAGTAATATTATAAGTAATTGTCTCTTATCGTTTTTTTTAATGGTTAGCAGTCTAACATTTCAGCTGCGCAAATTTTTGTTTTGCTTCTCTTTCTTGTTCGATTAGTTTGGATTGTATTTATTTTGTTTTATTTATGGTTTTTGTTTTTTCTTCTATTAACTTTTTAGAACGCCGACTAATAGCTACAGTTATACTTGGATTTTCATTCTTTTTTTCTTGTTCTTCCTACACGACATTTTTTCATAGTTTTATGTGATTTTTTTCCCCGTTTTTTGACAATGTGTAATCATTTTTTTATGGGTTTTTGTTTCTTTCGTAATTGGGCTTTCTTTTCGCTTTTAAAATGTTGAAAAATATGACAATTATTTGTGTGGTTTTTAGCGATGCGCTTCGGAGCCGTTCAGAGCAATACAAAAATTTCGCTTAGCACATGAGAAAAATATAAAAATAACAGAGCGTGTGAGGAACAATTACTAGAAAAACTTAAATAAATGAGCGAGAAAAACAGAGCACACCATATAATCATTTTCCACAGTAGTGTAAATAGTATAAAAAAAAAACCTTCACAAAATAGCACAAAACTTTACTTTCGCTCTGGGTTTTTCGTTTTAATAACATACATTTAATATATATAAATATCTATAAAGAAATCGAAATCGTAGTCGATACACATAAATAGATCGGATCGATTGGAGCATCGGCCTCGGGCCAATTTCGGGTTTCTCGCTTTTCTCTCTCTCTCTCTCTCAAAGTTTTTGCCGTTTCTTCTTCTCGTTTCTGCTTTTCCGCTCGCACAAAATACTTTCGCTTAATATGTTTATAATATTAGTAAAGTAGTTCTCGTTTTTCTCTCCCATTGCCACTGCTCCCCTAGAAATCCAGCAGGGAGACCTCAGCGGGCGGAGCTGCAGCTGCAACCGGTGCCTGCTCCTGATCCTGGGACACTGGGAACGCCTCTGGTACGACCTCTGGCTCATGCGATCCGTTGCCGTTCTGGGTAATTGGCTGCTGATGCTCCTCTCCATTGGTGGCTGGAGCCGGCTCAGCCGGTACTGGCTTCCTGATCGGGGCCCCAGGGTTTACACCCTTCATCGGGGTGGGCACCTTGCGCGCCTTTATAGCGGCCGGAGAGGCTTTGGAAGCGGCTGCAGTTTCTTTGGCTTTCGGTTTCAGCGGTGTGGTGGTGGCGCTTCCGGTTGACTTCAGTGGCGATGCCCTGAGCGTGTTGTTGCTGGGCTTCAACGGCGAGGACTTGCGTTGGGCTGCAGTCGTGGTGGAGCTCGAGGCCAACAGGGAGCGTCGCGTGGTGGTGGTGGTGCTGCTGCTGCTGGTGGTGCCGCTGGCGGTCGAGTGCGTGAACTTGGGTGCCGGGCGTGCTGTGAAAGTCTTGGTGGTCGATGTGGTAGTAGTTGTGGTGCCGCCTGTGCTGCCATTGCCCGCTGTGGCTGACTTGACGCGAGTGGTGGTGGTGGTGGTAGTAGCAGCGCTGCTCCTGCCCAGTCCATTGGTCGTCGGCTTTGTGGGACTACGAGCAGCGCTCAGCGAGGATGCACTCGTTGTGGAAGTAGCACTGGCCGTCTTGCGTGCTGTGCTGGCGCCAGTTGTTGGGGCGGCGCTGCGAGGCGACGGCACCTTCGGCTTGGGTGCAGCCACAGTAGTAGTGGGCGCCGCACGTGACTTGGCCAGACCAGCGCTGCTGGCACCAGTTCCATTGGTCGTGGCCGGCTTGCGTGCCGCCAGGCCAGCGGCAGGAGCGCTGCGTGCGGCTGTCGTTGTGCTGGTCGTTGTCTTGGTCAAAGTGCTGCTCAGGGGCTTGCGGCTGGCCGGAGCTGTCGCTGGCCGAGTACTGGCTGTGGTGGTCCTGGGTGCCGGCTTGGCAGCAGCACCAGCAGCAGCTCCCACCGAGCTGGTCAGCGGCTTGCGGGCAGTTGTGGGCCTGGCGGGCACAGGTGCCGTGCGAGGGCGTGCGGCAGCCGCCTTGGGTGCTGCTGCTGCTGCTGTTGTGGAGCTGCTCGTTGTGGTCTTCTTGATCGCAGCTGGAGCTGCTGGCTTGGGCTTGGCAGCGGCTGCAGTGGTTCCAGATTTGGCAGCCGGCTTCTTGGCATCAGTGGGACTTGGTTTCCCCTTGGCCTTGGCTGCGGCAACAGCTGTTCCGGCGACAGCAGCTGCAGCAGCAGCAGCAGCAGCAACCACAGCAACAGCAGCGACCACAGGCTCGGGCTGAGTCTCAGGCAGAGTTTCGGCAGCGGGAAGAGGCTCCTCTGCGACGGGCTCGCTGGCAGCCACAGGGATAGGCTCCTCCACAGCCACTGGCTTATCGACGTCCAGGTCAAATGCATAAGACACGGTTTTTACTGCATCGGCAATTACTTCAGAGACGGGCAGCTCGGGCTCTGGAAGGGCTGGTGCCTCCACAGCTGGCTCCGAGTAGAGCAGCATCGATGGCTCCTTAGTCTCCACCTCCAACGGAGCTGGCTCTGGGTTTGCATTGCTCTCGAAGCCATTGAAAAAGGGTGCAGCAGCCTCAACCTTAGCTGGATCTGGAGCCGGAGCAGCAGCAGCAAAGTCGGGGAACACGCTGACGGGGGTGGCAGCCTCAGCCTCAGCCTCTGGCTCAGGGCTAATCTTGTACTCCTCCTCGATTTGTTCCTCCTGCAATTGCAACTCGTTGAAGTTTTCCTGTATTTCCGGTTGCTCAATAGACGGCTGCTGCTCTTGGGCCACGATGACTTCCTCGGCCAAGTGTGCGGGCGTGAATGGCGCAGCAAATGGATTGATTCCCGGTGACGGGGCAAAGTTCTCCTCCTCTTCCTCCTGAGCGCTTTGAGCCTCATAGCCGGAAGCTGCATTGAAGGCAGCGTACTCCTCCACCTGCGAGGAAAAGGAAAACAAAAATACAAGTGGGTAGAAAAGATTATTAAGTGACGTGGAAGAGATTCGAGCGGGGGTATAGGGGGAATTGGAAGTGCAAGCACCACACCCTGAAGATGACTAAACCGAAATACAATTATCAACAACATCATCATCATCGCCGAAAGACAACAAAAAGAAGCAGCATTTGGGAAGTGTCTGGCTGTCTCTCCAATCCCCCGAACAGACTGGAAATCCCCCGTCTTTACTTTGCTGTTAAATCGATAAATGCAATGAGCCATCGCCCATTGGAAGAAATCTTCGTTGCCGTCTCCATTTGGGTGTTGGGGGCACACAGAAAATGGTGGCAAGCACTTTTCCCTCTGTGCGTTACTTATGGTATTATTGCTCATGTCTCGTAAAAATATCTGGCAGATTCAGCAGCCAAAGTATTTTGTGCTTCATGTTTTTGGAGGCTGTACGGGGATGGGGGAGAGTAAAATAAATCACACCACGACGACAGACACACAAATTTCCAGCTAAATAAATAGGGGAAAAAGAATGAATATCATCTGTGTGTATGCCTGCCCCACATACATTATACAAGTAAGTGGATGGAACATATATTTTTATAACCGCAAGAGCCTAAAGCGACCGCGCCCCAAAGCAGGGAATATTAGTACTTTTTTAGGTGTAATTTTTTGACGAAAAGAAATCAACTAAAGTGCCTTTTAATGCTGGGTGCATGTTTTAAATGAACAATCTTGCGTGACATGAATTTTGCTCCCATCCATATCCTGGGTAACTGTAAAAGTAATCTCCAAATGTGTTAGGAAGTTGGCAGTCCCCTTTCAGACCAAGGAGAGCGGCCAATGCACTCACACCCGCGATAGTAACGTTACTGTAAATTTCGGGTAAACTATGGGGAGTGTCTGCTGCCTGTCCTCCCTCTGGCACTCAGATATCTGCCAGGGTCCAGGGAAACAGGGTTGACACGCAGACACATTACTAATGCATAAAATTATGATAATGATGACATCAGCCAGAGAGAACTTGTGAAAGTGAGAAAACAGCCATAAGTAAGCAACAGGAACAGCCCCCGCGAGAAAGGGGCGACAGATAGCGACAATGTCATGACAGTTGCTGGACAGCATTCTGGCCCACTATAAGCATTACCAAGGCACAGAGCAAAAGCAGCGATGACATGGCCAGGGCATACATACACAAAAGAAAACTAAAGATAGAGAAAGAAAAGGAGAAAAAAAGTCGGATGACAGGAAACGTGTCAGTGACTTAGTAGTGTGACTCGACGTTAGTTTTGGCGCAGGTGAATATGTAGCGTTAACATTTTTTTCTGCATTTTTCTTCTATTGCAGGCAAAGAGCGAGCCACACCGCACCACATCGACCCACACCGCGGCACATCGCAGCACATAGCAATACAGAGAGCAGAGCGATCTGAAACTCTAAAATGTCATTGACCAGTAAATGCCACCAGCCAGGGCCCCGTTCGTTTTGCCAGGTGCCCGGGTTGCCAGGTTTCCCAGTTCCCAGTTCGGTTGCCCTCTCCGCTGTCTGTATGCCGTTCCCGCCGCTAGTTCGGTTGCCCACTTTTAGCCCACTCGCGCAATTGCTGGCTGGTTGGACTTTCTTTTGTAGCCCAACTCTCCTCTCCACTGCTTTACTCTGTTTGGACTGTTGCTCAAGCGTAATGGGGTTAAAAGTGAGCTGAAGCGAATAAGTCCAAAAAAAAGAAGCATGAAAGACAAACCCCAGCTTAGTCAGAGCTCTCTCGAGACTTAGTTCCTTGCTCCATGACTCATCGCCGGCTTGGGCAGGGCAAACAAACATTGGCTAATCAATCATGACTAGAAATGATGTAATAATACGCATTTTAAAATAACTCTGCAAGCCATTTCCCTCTCCCTTTCAACTATCTTTCGCTGCTGTGCTGTGTGCATTTTAATCACCGCGATAATTGTTTGATATTTTATCAGTGTGGAAGTTGATACAAGTTGGCAGCGCTCTTTGGTCGCGATTGCCGGCCGGCCCGTCCACCCAGTGTTTTGTTTTTTATTTTTGCACAAATAATCTATTTGGCCAACATATACTTTTGCACACAAATGTGTACAGTGGGCACACACAATATATAACAATTTGCACACTATATTTGTGGTCCACACAATCGGGTTATGAATGAGATTTCACTGTGCGTTAGTGTACGGCAAAATGTAAGTGTGTGACTCTCTTCCTCTCGCTCTCTCTCTGTCTATTTACAAATCATTTTGGCACTTGAAGAAGCCGGCACCAAAAATTCACATACAGGAACACCTTTGGGGGCGAAGCTTTTGATACCCTGTATGAATAAATGTATGTTTGTATATGATCTATACAAGTTCCGTCCCTGTACAAAACATATTCAGTCAAAATCATAATACTGTCTCTGATCGAATATAACATTGGGTCTCTCACACACTCATTGATTTGCTCAACAAGGCGTCAACGGTCGCCTTCACCGGCTCTGCCGCTCTTGGTTGGGTGGGTGGTTGTGTTGGTGTGTGTTTGTTTGTGGCTTTTGCCGCTTGCCAAAACCCAACAAAGAACGCAACGATGACATCAACAATTTCTAGTTGCTGCGGCAGCTCTCATGTGAATTTTGGCTTTGGATAATTTAAAAAAGTGCGCAGCAAATGAAGAAATTGCACGAAAGTTGACGTCAACTTCTGTGATTCAGGGATAGAGAGAGAGAGAGAGAGTCATTTAGGGAAGAAGTAGAGTAGAAGGGGATATGTCAGATAAGTGAGAGTGCGACTGGGAGGCAGTTAAAAGAGAGCACGAAAAAGAATTAAACACAAAAATCAAGTTCAACAGATGGCGTTGTTTGTATGCAGATTTGAGAGAGCAGAAGGAGAAGGAGGAGGGGAAGAGTGATCGCATAAGCAGAAGAGGAGCTGACTACGGTTGTTGTTGTATGAGCAAATAGCCTGACTACAATTACAACAACTAGAATCGCACACAAACCTACGATACAAGACAATTTATAGAGTCGCAAATTTGTACGCAAATACAACAAATCACTTGGTATTGAGTCGTCCATGTCTTTGCCGGTTTTCCTCCCCTCCCCTTTACTCCCCTCTGCTACTGTTGCTTTCCTGCTATGCGACATTCGACATTCAATGCGACGTCCGATCCTACTTTGCCGTTTGCTGCCACACATGGCTCGATAGACAGCCAAAAGTGGGCACACTGAGAAGGGGGGAAGAGTTGAAAATGAGAGGAAAGACAGACAGACACACACACTCTCTAAGGTGGAAAGAGTCTAGCCGCAATAGACCACAGTGGCCATTAGGTTTCTCCAAAAATGGAATGCAATTGACAGTCGCTGCGCAGGGTCTCTATCGGTCCAAACTGTCAACCGTTTTTGGCCATGCACACACGTATACACACTCATCCACCAACCACAACCACAAATATGCACAAAATAATTATAATAATCAACAACAATAAAATAGCTAAATGTTCCACTGTCTTGCGCCGTTCCCAATTTATACGCACAATTCGCATTCGCCGCCTGTCTGATGATCCATGATGTTTTATGGAGACTTTTGATTGGAGTAGAACCGAGGCACACACGCACTCTCATAAACGCAGTAGGAGAGAAAGAGAGGAACTACTTTCCAAATATAATGCCAAATAAAGCGAAAAAGTCTTCTCTTTGCATTTTTATTTGACTTGTGCATGTATTCCCTTGTGTATAGCAGTGTGTACGTGCGTAATGAAGTGTGGCTGCTGTTGGGGCTAGCTGTGCGGCTATGTAATTTCTATTTTTAAATAAGCGAAACAAAATGTTGACAAATCAAAAGGAAAACGAGGAGAACATCAATAGTTCGGTCAGCAGCGACTCACCGATGACCTGTAAGCTGTGACGCATTCACATATTGCCAAATCTTCTCAATAGTTTTTTTTTCTCTTTTGCTAGAGAGAGGGACATGTCCAATATGCCTCGCTCAATGCCCTGTACCGCAGTTTGTATGCAAACTGCGCTCACTCTCTCTCTCTTCTCTCTTCAAGTTGCCCTCCCTTTTTTCTCTATCTACCCTGCATGGTTAACTGTGCCGCGGCAATTATGATGAGCAATAAATGTTCAAACTGTGAGGCAAGCTAACAACAGGCAGGCAGGCAGGCAACATGCAGTATGCCACATGCAACCGGAGAGGAACACGCAACATGCAGCCAGGTTGGGCGCATGAGCATATATTCTATTGTTTCTACCTCTTTTTTTCTTTCTTTCTTCTATTTTTTTGGTAAATGCAGCCGCGGCTGCTGCACATCATTAATCTCCCGATGGTGATTAATGGAAAATGTTATATTTTCATCATTCTTACACACAGAGTTACCGCTGCCGCTGCAGTTGCGCTGAGGCATGAAGCAAATCCAGCTTTTGTGCATTTTAATTAAGTTTTTTCTACCATTATTTGTGTACCCTGGCATACAGTATTAAATTTCTCAACTAAAGTTTGCAAAGCAGACAAAAGTGTTTATTTGCTGATAAGAACTATGGGTGTGAAAAGTCACAGGGTATTTGGAGTCTCCAATTTATTATTCCACTCTTGCTTGCCCTTTCTTCTTCTCTCTTACTGCATCACATTCATATCAAAGCGGAAATGACTTAGGTCAGGAAAGTGCAGTGCGACAGTTTCTCTTTACGTATTTTTCTCTCTATTGTAACTCTCTGCTGTTCTGCTTTGCTTCTGCTGTTTCAGTTCACGGTTCATTCTGGATCCCGTAATCAAATTGGTTTCGGCTTAGTCGGCTGACTCGCTCGAAAAATGTCAATGAGTCGACGGCCTTGTGGGGCGTGGTCCCCCGCCGGTGGAGTGCTTCTGTCCATCATTCTCTAAATATAATTTCGACAATTAACGATACACCGACTCAACGCCAACTCATCCAAGCCTCGGGGGAGCAGCCCCAGCCGCTCGGACTCAATGAATTATGGCGCTATGGCATAAATAATAATAAAAA